TGGTAGTCTAATACAAGGAAAGTCGAATAGGTAAGTCCAACTTCGACCGAGAGGTTAATCGACCGATTCAAATCGGCTGGGCAGCGTTCGGGAAATTACGACACATCTCCTCAGGTATACCTCAAAACTTGAAAACGAGATTGTACAACCAGTGCGTGTTGCCGTGATGAATTATGGATCTGAGACGTGGTCCTTCACTGCTGGCCGTATGAGTGATAAACTTAGAAATGAGGATATCCGCAGTAGAACCAGAGTGTCATCAGCGTTGTCATCAACTATTTGATTCTTAATCAATGATAATTCTCATAGCCACAGCATTAATTTTATTACATTATCATCTGTTGGACTATACGGTTTCAAGTGTCATCCTTACTTGCATTAAAATAAAACGTCTTGACTTTGACTACAATTTATTATTATTATCTGCATTTTGATACTTGCTCTATCGAGAATAGATGTAGATGTCTATATACCACAGCATCCACTTACCAACAAGTTGACTGTGTGCTCGTTTGTAACGTTTATTCTAAAAAAAAATTTTAAGCCTTATAAAATTTCTCACCAAAAACATGCAAAGTCGTGGTAGATCACACCCACCTGTCTAGAAAAGGTAAATTGAAATTCTCTTACGCGAACTGACTCGAGGAATTTCAAGTGTTTGCAGACTCACGTAAAGTTTAGTGATGTGCCGTTCTGTACCAGAATCATAATTGAACCTCTTTTTTATCTACGTAAAGATTTAACTATATTTTACATTTTTCTTTTTGTGAAAAAGTTTACAATATCTCTAAATACGTAAAGTATTCTTAAATATTCTTAAATATGATGTCTACGTAGTAGGACAATGAAAATTGAGAGTTTTTAGAGAATTTACACCGAAATGACAAAAGCTAACTATGATATGAATATTCCTAGTTGTATATTCCTACATGTATATACATAATATGTGTAAAATAACTTTTCATTATATATGTTTTTATAGTGCGTTAAAAATATTACAACGAATTTCTCCAGTATTTCTCTATAGAAGAGGGGATCTTCGCACGAGAGATTTTTATATACTAGAATTGAGAACATTCTCTTTTTCTAAAGTTATTAAAAGTCCGAATCAGCCATGATAAAATAATAATCCGTAAGCAAAATATGAAATAAATTAAAGACTTTAAAACGCATCACTAGTTTTAAACAGGCTAGTTTAGTAGCGGACCGGGGTCGCGACTGACGACCTCTCTGGATTCCCTATACGGTGTAATTTAATGGGCCGTTGCTCCCGGGACAAGGAAAAAAACGGGCTCAACGCGGGTTCGTGGAGGATCGAATGCGCACATTGCAATTTACTCAACCTGCGCTAAATTGTCGTTGCCTGTGGCGTTTTTCTTTACACGTCTTCCAGTATCCATGCTAGACAGTCCCTGCGTACAGTATGTAATTATGGCAAGGATATTGAATTTCTATTTATTTTTGCACAAACATTATTCGCAATAGAATGACGATTTTTAAATATTTTAACCGATTTCAAACAGGAGAAGGTACTCAATTCGAATGTTTGTTTTTTTATGTTCTCATAGGTTTTTTTCTAGGTGAACCGATTTTGATGATTCTTTTCTTATTTGAAATCTGATGCTTCTCATGTGGTCCCATATAAATTTGATCAAGGTCTAACCAGTAGTTTTTGAGTTATCCTTAATAATTTATATTGAATTCGGTTGTACAAAATTTTTAATTTTACCACTTTATATCATTATATATAAAAAGTACGTGTCACGTTGTTTGTCCGCGATGGACTCTTAATCTACTGAACTGATTTCAATGAAATTTTGCACACTGTGTGCATTTTGGTCCAACTTGAGAGATAGGATAGTTTTTATCCCGATAAATGACCCTCAAAATTTTTTATTATGAATTTAAGGATTTATATAGGAAGGGTCGTTGGAAAGGGCAGAACAACGTCTGCCTGGCGAGCTAGTATTATATAAAATTTCTATAATGATGATTATACATTTTTTAATCTTTTTTGCCTGATAATGGTGGCAATCATTCATCTTCCAATATCGTACCTTAGTTGACCAAAAAGTCAATAAAGTGTACTTATGCTTCATTTGGACATGATGGAGCCACGCTACAAATTATGTCTGCGGCATCAATGGGTTAATCGCATCTTCTTACCTACTTCTCCCACCAAGCAGTAGTAGGTACGTGCGCCGCTGTATTGCAGTTTGAAGAATATATAGAGAGTCAGTATAGTAACAGGCTGTTAAGTTTTAGTCCTCAATAATGACAATGCATGAGTTACCTTTATATCAAAGTATCATTGGGCTACAGTATCCACTTACCATCAAGTGAACTGTGTGCTCGTTTCATAAGTCATCAGGTTGTTAGCTAAAAAATTAGTAAAATCGCTTCAATGACAAAACTTAATGTAAGACGAAAAAAATTGCTAAACACAAAATAAGAAACGAAAAAATCTGGTCACATTGCATTGACCTTATATAGTAGTCGGTAATCTTTGAAACGTGCTTAAGTAAATTGCATAATTGAACCACACTTTGATAAAATAATCGTCATTTTATTTGGCCGTATGTAATCATAAAAACCAGAAGTTCAAGGCCGAGGCGAACGAATTAAACTTCGTTTAGCTGTCAATGAAAACGTGATTAAAATAGATAAAATAGAGAAATAGCAGGGTAATACTGCTATATTTCGTATGGTGATTGTAGAGAACCGGAGACCCATTTTACGGAAAACGAGGCATTATCTTATTTATCTTAGTCTTCAGAGGTGGCAACGAATCTACATTTTGATTTTTAATCGAGGACGAATACGTAGATTTCTAAAGGTCACAGTATCCACTTACCATCAGGTGAACTGTCACTGTTATTCTATTAAAAAAAAAAACTTAACCCTCCGTATAATGGACAAACAAGAAATCATTACGCGATGCGATTTAGTTAAAGGCCCAGAAGAAGAAGATGATGTAGGCGTCGTTAGATGTTAGATAACCATTTCGTATTTTTACCAGATTCAAAATCACCAAACTAGTGACGAGGAACAGAGTGAGTGACGGCTTCGTGGCGCAGTGGCTTAGCAATGAGTTGTTGCGCTGGGGGCCGCGGGTTCGAATCCCGCACGGTACAAGTATTTGTATGGCCTACCAATAATTGTTCCGGGTCTAGATGTTTGTCCTCGTGCAATTTATGTTTGTAAACTGCCTCCACGGTACAGGAGAAAGTCCTAGTGTGGGGGTAACGTTTTTAAAAAAAATAAATAAAAAAAGAATTAAAAAAAGAGTGAAATGAACGAAATGTATGGTTCTGCGGTCAAACCAATCAGCAGGAGTAGACAGTTGACTGGCTGTTCAGAATACAAAACTTAATAATAACCTCTATCCATCCATTACCGCGTATATAAGTTCAAACATAGACCTTCCCATAGATTGTCTATTATGCGGATTTTGTCATAATTGCCACGTTTGTTGTTACGAGTATCAGGAAGATGGTGTTGGCCATCTTCTGTTTCAGTCTCCCTCTGTCACCTCTTACGATACCCACTCTTTCTTTTATTGGGTACCTAGTGTATATTGTTATACCGCCACTACACGCTTATAATAACCTACATGTATATTATGCAAAAAAAAAAATAGAATCCAATATATTCTTCTTACTGTTCCTGATCATAAATGTCAGATTAAGTCATAGTCTTTATTTCCATTATGAAATTGACTAATGGTTATTAAAAAAAAAACATTACGTCAAACCGGAACGCGATTAATTTTGTGTTATGCAATTATATGCCATAGGAGATGTGAAAATCATTACCGCTTCTATACACCTTTAGTGACGTAACCTTATTTATCGTATTTAGATCACTAATGCCGATACTCAATTTTAAGACGCCGTTACGTCTCCTGCTGTCTCTATCGTTTTATGTCAAAGTGACTGTGACACCACGAGACTTATCGATGTCTTAAAATTGAGTAGTATTTGAGTATTTAGCTATAAGATATACATTCAAAGATCATTATTGCACTAAACTAATTAGCATTTTATGTTTATTGGTTCCTGCTTCGTGCCTTTATGTCTATCGCTGTCTAATGAAAATGTTTGACAATAATTTATTAATGGTTAATTTAGTTCCAAATTTGACCTTTGTTTACGGACGTCAGCTGGTACCACAACTGCTATTTATCAATCATATACTACATATAGTAACTGTTCAATATTAACGCAATAACAGTTTACTTGGACGATTATATAACTCTGTCATTAACTCCGTTCCAAGTTTCAAGTTATAGTTTTATTTATCTGTTTATTTTTATTGTAGTATTGCCTGCTTCATTGGTTTAGTTATCGTTAACGCGATGACTGATCCTGAGTTTAAATTCCAGTTCGAGCCAAAATCAGTTATTAGATTATTCTGTCAGGAAATTGTCATTAGTAACGCGGAGTCAGGAAGTTGATGGTGTTGCAACGCCGTGCCATGGTCCTGCGTCTATTCTCTCTCCGGTCGTATCTAATAGAGCGTGCACTTGCATTTGCGCGTACACTCGGTCACTATAATCCTATCCTGGGCAGATGGCTAGACTCCGTTGAGTAACTCGGTCTGGAGCACATTTTTATTATTAATGTTGTATATATGAGTGAAAGACTTGCAGTACTAATTTTTTCGTAATAAAATCAATCTATAGGTATTAATAATCTATCAAAGTATCACTGGGCTACAGTACCCACTTACCATCAAATGAATTGCGTGCTTGTTTCGTGGGTCTTCTATGCAGTGGGTCACTAATATTGTAATAAAGAAATCGCTTCAATGACAAAACGTAACACGAATAAAATAATTGTTAAACAAAAAATAACAAACGAAACAATCCGGTCAAATTGCATTGACCTTAGATGATAATCGGTAATCTTTGAAACGTGCATAAGTAAATTGCATAATTGCACCACATTTTGATAAAATAAACGCCGTTTTATTTCGCACTTATCATTAAAGGTACATACCATCATAAGAGTCCGGGATGTACAGCGGTTTTCCAACTAGTTTTCCTTTCTTCCCAGATAGCGGCACCGCCTCCACTCTCCTATGAGCTTCCAACACTCTATACAGAAGCACTGACCTATCCTCCCCTTCTATTTTCACCACACGAGGCAAGGAGAACTTATCCACAAACTCTTTCAACGTCATCACATCACTTCCATCGTCTTCGGGCTCGACAGAGCCGTTCCGTCTTCCAAGAAGAAAATTGTCTGCCCATTCAGGCGCGTTTGGTCTTCGCTCTAAGAAATCCGGTCTTCGCTCGCTACTCCGAGGCTTGTATCTGGGTGGTCGATCTCTTCGGATCATAGCCTCGTTCGCTTCTGCCAACCATCTCGTGACCAGACGCTCCCTCTCGACGTCCAAGTATCTCGGCTTGGATGCATCGCAGGCGAAGCGGGCGGCGTCGAAGCAGTATTGGGGCGGCGGCGGTGGTCGGATCCGTGGCGGATAGAAGCGGGGTGGGATGTAAGGTGGATGTGGGGCGTAGGCGGGCGGCGTCCTCGGCCCGGAGCCCTCGACTGACGCCGTTCTAAACATCGTTTCAGGCCATTGATGCTTCTTTTACCACCTGAAACAAAAACGTATTCCTTTTTAATTATATGGATTACGGATTTATTCTCACAAGAATTTGAGTTATGAATTCTCAAGAGTGACCGTGTAAAAACTGAACAAACCATTTTGCTCTTATTGGTTTGCTTTTTGTTACTTAAATTTATTTTAAACAAGAATTCATCTAGATCTTAAGCATAATATATCTCATAATTGAATTTGTATGATGTAAGTTTTGACTAATTTTTTTAAATTTATTTTTCGATGTTATGAGGTAATCCATTTAAAATATTATTGAAATATTATTCCTAAAACTTTATTAAATTTATATGAAATAAGACCATGTTTCTTTTTTGCGTACTCAATTCGTTGCCTATTCGTCAACGCAAATATAAATATTCTATTTGCATCATTCTCTTAATTCTGAAAGATCCATTTCATTCACTCGGGGTATTTGAAATCTAAATTACAATGCCTCGGAATTTCCCATAATTTTTCTTTTCGTAATTGTTTTTTCGTAACGTGATGGTGCCGTGGTGATGAAGCCCTAGATGGTAAAACGCACTGTCTTAGTGACATTTCTAGTGTTATTTTAAGTTGCTCACGCTTTAACAACGTACGTTGGTTACTTATCTCATTCTTTCGCCCTCATGGTCATGATGGTCATGATACTGAGAACAAAAGACCTCGGCAAAAGCGTTTATGGAGGCCCCAATGCTTGACAAAACTTACGTGAAATTGCAATTGATTTATATTATTCCATAATGGCATATCTACATGCGTTTATGATGTGAATATGGTTTGTATAAACACAAGAATAAAGCTGCTATCTTTTGGTTAATAAACCGTAATATCGCATTATCATTTCATTCACATAACATACATTGTCTACAGTGACTGTCTACAAATTATATGGTCTTTGTAGACAGTCCGCAGACGGTGGCCCGGATTCGCTATCTAACTTACAAATCCTTAAACATCCACATCAAACAAATGGCTTCATTAAGTATACATATATAAGAACACACAAATATGGAATATGAGGCATGTAGCCTAAGCTATAAAAAAATTAACTTTTTTTAAATTAACGATTTCTTTTTTTATGTACGTCAAATGCTCATATGCATGATACATATGTATATGTACGTCATAGAGACATGTTGCATGTATATTACTGTTGTAATATGAATGGGTAGGTTGGTAGAACCACATTTTCACACCACACCATTATAAAATAGCAGTTTATTGCTGCTGTGTTTCGGTATGGTGCGTGTAGAGAACCGGAGACCCTTTTTACTGGAAACGAGACATTCCGTCTTAGTCCTCAGGGGTAACAATGCATCTGCATTTTGCTTTATTATTTAGGGTAGATGTAGGTGTCTATGGGACACAGGAGCCACTTAACATCAGGTGGACACACAGTCCACCTGATGTCCATCTTGCATTTACGCACGCGACACGCGAGCATGCAGTCATTCATGCACTTCCAAATAATTAACACATACACAACAAATACATTGGCATGTTATAGAAATGGGCAGCAGAAACTTAAAAGGTGGTAGCAAAGGGGTAAATAACCAAGTCACAATATTTTTACTCAAAATTGGCACAAAGTACTTTTCAACAGTACCTACAACAAAAAATATTACGCCATAACTTCAATAAGTCCCAGCTGTGGGAGACCTAGTAAGAAGTTACAAGTTAAGCTTAAAAAATACAAATACCTGAATCATCGTCAAAAGTCCCCTCAAAATTGAGATGAAAAAACAAATGCTGGCAACTTATTCCAGTCCTTGGCAGTACACATTACGGACGATGATACGTTTGGTTTGAATGCGTGGTAAGTCAACAACGAAAGGGTGGGGTCTGGCCGAACGTTCTCGTTGTCCGATGGTGGAAGGGAGAGGGGGGAATTAAGTTAGTTGTATCTTCTAATCCGCATTATTTTTTATATATCTGAGCACTTGCTTGTAGGTAACTGTACCTGTGCCCAGAAGTGGAACGCATATAGGCTGTGACTTAAACTTTTAATACAAATATAATGATATAAGAATGCTCTTTATATCGAAGCATTCTTATATTTTTAATCTTTTAAATAACCAACTGTCTGTATTTATTTTGGTGAATGCGAGTGCACCGATTCGGATAAGCATGGAAATTATTAATTACAATTTTAACTACTGATTAATCAGGTGCTCAATGGTTAAAAAGAAACATCGTGAGGAAACCTATATGTCTAAGAAATAAAACATTTTGAAACATGTGAGGTTTTCCAACAGGAACAGACTGCAAACTTATTGTTGCATTCCATTCTCAGAAATAAAAGAAGGCGTATGCTTGGCAGTGAGGCATATAAATTTTGAGTAGCGAAACCATGCTATAGTGTATTATAGCTACAGCATAAATGGGTTGATGCTAGCGTGAAAGTATCACGCTTGCACACAATACCTACCCTAAAAAAGAGCAAGATACTGATATTTTTCGTATGGTGAGTGACAGAATCCGGAGACCCTTTTTTCTGGTAACAAGGTATTCTATTTTAGTCCTCAAGAGTCATTTATGGAGAGTCACAGCATCTCTTTACTATCTAAAGTCCCAGAAAATATCCAGGACCTATCAAAACTTTTTAATAAATGTTATTATACTACTAAAGAGTACATAATTGAAAATAACCACTGGAAATGAGGTAATAGCTACCATGTTGTTTCTAAATGTTTTCATACTTAATTGTACAAAACATTATGTTGTAAGTTAATATTAGAAAAGTCCTACTGGAAAGTCCTGCTGCTGCCTTAACATATAAAAGTTTACTGCTGGAGATGGAGCTCTTTCATTTTAAGCTGGAACGGCCTTAATAGTCACGCTTGGTGGTCGGATTGTCTATGGCAGTACCAAACTTGATGCATCTTTGAAGCTGTCGCCCCTTGCTGGTCTAGATATGGCGTCTGGTGTAAATGAGATGGTTATACCACCAACTGTCAGAGGTCATAAGTAATTTTTGGCATTTACAAAAATTTGCTCTGACTGAGATTCGAGCTGCGGATTGCGGCATAGTATCACTCATGCACTCTAAACTTTAGGCAACGTTGTAAAGAAATTACACTACTTGTTCTACATAAAATGTTGCCCACAAACAAATAGCCCGACACAGCGTTGATACGCAGAGGCTATCGACGTGTGAATATCTGTATGAATATTTTATACAATTGAATTACACTGTACTAAAACGTAACGGGAAAATACCGCAAATTGTTTAAATACCTATCTTGGATACCTTAACTATGCTTGACGGCTATTTGTTACGGACCCTGGGTTCGAATCTCGATTGGAACCAACAATAGACCAAATCCATTTTATAATTTTCTATACTCGTAATTTACACATTATAATTACAAGTATTTTATCGCTTACATGTCTCTGAAACCATAAGAGATGTAAAGAACATTATTTTGTTTCTACTTTTTGGTTTACACTTGATAGTTTCCTTAATTCACAATTCATTGACGTAGAAATGGAAATTCAACACCATTTTATGCAATTTGATGACATACCATCTAATGCCGGTGGCGTCATCAATTGAATTATTTTGTTACTCCTTATACCATCAGCTATCTTACTAATCTTCACGCACAATCCCTGACGGGGTAGCCAGAGAGAACAGATCGCCAAGTGTCACGATCCTTACATATCTCTTTCGCTTCTTTCAGATTCATTATCTTCTTCATACATGCACGTCTAGGTATCCGAGTACTCTTGACCCTACCCTCTTCGAGCAATTTGCTCACATGGTCTTCGAAAGTTAGTCTCGGTCTACCTCGACACCTTTTAATATTAACTTTCGCGCTATATATTTTCTTCACCATTCGGTCTTCACTCATTCGCTCAACGTGCCCAAACCACCGAAGCACGCCCTTATCAATTTTTGTGATAAGGTCATCTTTCAAACCTGCCATATTGCGAATCTCTTCGTTTCGCTTTCGGTCGGCCATAGTAACGCCGCACATTTTACGAAGAGATCGCATCTCCACTGCATTCAACTTACTTTTATGCTTCTTCTGGCATACCCAGGTTTCGCTGCCATATAACAAAGTCGGTACCAACACTGCGTTATGTATTGCAAGGCGTGCACTCTTCGCTACGCCTTGCCTTTTGACTAACGCAGTCAGGGCACCATTGACTTTGTTCCCGGCAGCGACACGCCTGTCCACATCTAAATCACATCTTCCATCCCGGCTAAAAGCACTCCCCAAGTATACAATTTCATTTACCTGTTCTAGACATTCCTGATTTACCCATATTTCACACTTCGTTCTCTCTTCGTCCCTTTCAAGCCCATCAGCTATCTGCCAGTGAAAATCCCATCTAAATCGGTTCACAGGTTTTTGAGTGATGCCTGTTCAGACAGACGTCGTGTTTTGTTCCTACTTACTTAATATTTATCGTTCTATTTTGGCCAATTTTTACAATATCTTTATTAATTCTAGCTTATGTGTTTTTCTGATGTATGAGCTATATAATTGTAAAGTTTCAGTTTCAGTAACAAACAGCCATACATTCTCACAAACTTTCACGTTTATAATATTTGTAGAATTGAGCAACTTTTTAATTATTCTAATTATGGATAGGTAATTCAACATTCTGGGGTAAGCACCAGATAGGTCTGATTTGGTTACGACCATTCTATGGTTACAAACAACACGACCACCTGCCCATATGATACGCAATGACTGCTTCAAACTACCAGCCTATGAAATTTGTGTTCATGACTTTGGATGCATTTTATTATTCTACTATATTATAGGACTATTCGGTCGCCAGCAGTCTCCCGTCGATCAGCAAAGTGCCCCGCTTGCAAATGCAATTTGCATTACAAGAACGAATATATTACTCTACGTAGTACACCCCAAAAAAAAAATGAAGAACAAAACAAATTGAATCGTTATATAATTCGAAGAACTGAACCCATTTAATATAAACAACATAGTTCT